TAAGCACTATGTCTGCACAACTCTTGAATACCTCCAGGGATGGAAGACAAACCTAGATAAGCTGGAATACTTTAAGATTTTTATTTTTACAAATAATATTAAACAAGCAAAATCTTAGTATAAATTCAAGGTTGATTTAAATACCCAAAATGGAGAAGAATCAGTCTTGTTTCTCCCAATAATATTTGTTTACTTATTATCCTTTTACCCTATAATTTATTTGTCAAAGTACATCTCTTGCAGCACAATAAAAAAAGAAAATACACGATGGCAGTGTGGCAGGGGCAATGCTTTTTGGAAAAGCTGACTTTTTTTGTTTCTTGGTTTCCATTTATATTTGTAGTCTAAGTTGTTCTAAGAGGGTTGTTTATATATAGATATAAAATTAATAATTAGAGGTAGCATTCAATATGCACTCAATAGTTGTTTCGACTTCCCTGTTTTTGCACATGCTGTCTTGCTAGGGTGATATTTTTTTGCATGGAAATGTATGATCTCTTATTTTTTTAACTTTGAATGGAATAAGGATAGCATGTGGCTCATCAGGTCGTTAGTTATATCTGACTATAGATATACATACGTGAGTACCAGTGTTAAGTAAAACACTGGCTAAAAAATGCATTGAAGAGTTTTAGCAGGATGAGTTTGAGCTCTATCCTGATTCAGGGATGATGGGTTTTTGTCTCAGCCTGCTCCATTAAATTGATTTACTTCAGATTTTTAAAATAATTTGCTTTGCTTCTTTAGGGTGAGTGATATGGTATCTATTGCAATAGCTTGAATTAATTTATATTAAAAGGAGCGTTGTTTGTAAGCTGAAAGCCTGGTGGATAAGCTCTACCTGTTAAGCAGGAGTAGCATCTCATCAGCCTGGACTGTGCTTTTAAAAGGATTGGTCTTGTTTTCAATCTTCTGGACTTTGGCTAAGAGAAAGATAAATCAAAGTTTTCCTGGTTCTCTGTTCTTTCAGTTCCCTCCTCCAGTGGCAACAAGTTTAAATTTCCTTAACTAAGATCTGTGCGTAGTTCTCCTTATGAACTCTATCTGTACAGTTATGTCTTTGAAAAGGTTGACTATAACCTTTTTCAAAATTTATAACGTGTTTTAAAATTTGATTGTCATTATCTGTGAAAGGCCTTCTTAGAAAAGATTATTTACATTTAGTACATTAAATAACCTGTTGAACATAGTAGTTGCATGTCCTCTGATAAGCCACTCCAGAAGATGTGACTTGGCATAATAAGATCTCCATAGTGAGTATTCTCTTAGACTCCTAAAAGTCCTTCATATGATGGCTGCAAGTGTACCTCAGATGGTACTGAGGCTGAAAATCCATCTTCCAGCTGGAACCATCTGAATGCTTTCAGTACCAATTTCTCCTTAGTTTTAATCTCAAAATGAGATTGCAAGATAGTTTTTATGTGTGCTTCAGTTTGTTATATTTAAGGGTTAAAAAATTTCAACCTGCAAATAGACATGATCAGTCTGGTGTAGTTATTTTTCTCTGTCTGCAAAGCATCCAATACAACCTAAAGTGATTTGCAAATGAGGAGACAAAATGCCTACTGTGAATGCCTCACAAGCTTAAAACCAAGGAGGAGATAAGATACTGTGAACACAAGTGATTGAGTAAGAGATGTGGAACACTAATCTGATTAGTTCCTTATTTCCCCTCCTCTCCCAAGAGTCAGTCTACTGATGCTAAACCACTGAGTTGGACGATTGAGTTGTTGGATTAACAGCTCTCTTCTAATACATATACAGCAAGATGGGTCCCACTATTTGTGGTGAATCACTGGTATGCCAAGTCTGATCCCTTCCCTTCCTGTGAGCAATTGATGACAGAGAAATGATTTAGGGGGCAGTTGAGACACCTCTGAGGCTATTCCAGACTTGTTTATTGTGCTCGGAAACCCAGTTCAGTCACGGCTTTCAGAGTAAGGGGGCAAATGATCTCAGCAACCAGCTCCTTACTATAGTCTCAAAGGACTTGTAACGCATACATGCTTGAAAAATGTGTTCAGAGTCCTATGGAGAAGAGGTAGCTCTGTAGTAGAAGATGCCTCAGGTAAAAGATTTATTTTTTTATCACTTCCCCTTGCAAAGTTAAGGGAATGGATTATCTTGTTGAACCCCACATAAATCTAGCTCCAGGTCATCCTCAGCAAAAGTAATGGGAAGTGAATTGCCAGTGCCCTTTCATAATTGCAGATCTTTAATTAAGGAAGGACACAAGGAGGCACTTAAAATGCCAACCTCAGCAAGTAGCAGGCTCCACTACTTGTGAGAATAAATTATAACTTGTCAGAATAAACTTGTTTTTCCATTAATGTGGTGGGTAGTATTCAAAGACTTATAATTAGATAAAATGCATTGTTCTCGGATGGAAGAAGATTATCTTACTTCTTAAAACTGTCTGTGAGGTGCAAACACTTTGAAGACAGTGTCAGCCTTACTGGGCAGTGCCATTTTGCTTGGTTCCGCCTTGACTTACAGTCATTTTAGAAGAAGGCAGAACAGCTAATTTAGTCTGGAGATCCCTTCATCCTCTTACTCTGAAGGTTTAATTTCCAGTTAGTGAAACCAGACTCCACTTTTTGGCTTTTGGATGAATATGTAGGGGTTTTTTTGGATTTGGATCTCACCTGTTACTGTGGCAGTTTATTGAGCAAAATCTTGCGTGCACTGTCAAGTGGATTTTAAACAGAGAAGAAGGGCTTAAAGAATATTTCTGGGCATTTCAACCATTGCTGAATACCAGCTTATCATGATATTTATGTGAGTTTACTTTTAATTATCAAGAACCTATAATGAATAGAATATAATGTAGAGACACACATTTTTAAGCATTTTGCTAGACAGGGCTCTTATGTTTGCTTCTTCTGTATTTTTCTCTGCTTTCCCAGTTTATGACTAGTTCCTGAAGCCCAAAGTACTGTTTTGTTGCCAGCAAAGCACTCTTTTCTGCTTCACTTACAAAATAGGAGTTTTTCACAACAAAACAACACATTGTCTTGTGTAAGAACTAAATTGGACCTCGAAGGGGGAAAGATTTGCATTCTGATTCTCTACCTCTATACCATGCACATCGTTTACACCTGTCTAAATAAATCTAAAAAAAAAGGCACCCACATTGTTGGTACCGATTCAAAGCAGCAAAATACTAGGTATTTCAGGAATAGTAGATGTGCCAATAAAGCTTACCAAGAAAAGGTCATAGAAAGCAAGTATAAATATCTTTGAGGGTCTTTATTCCTTTAAATATGCTATTACTTTTCATAAAGCCATTCAGAACAGAATTCAAAGACTCTTTTACGTTTAAGGCAGCAATTCTTAAATGAAAAAATGATCATTATTCTTATTTCTGCTTTTTTTTTTTAATCTGTATCTAGTCTGTTAGTTTCTGCCTGTTTACCACATACAGATTATTTTGAGGAGTTTTTTATTAGTGTGCTAAGCAAAATTTTTACATTAACGTGCATAACTATCTTTTCATACAGTTCCATATAAAATAATTTCAATATTAAATGGTGTAACTGAAACAGTCTCCCCATAGAGGTAATTAATTTTAAAGGGAAACCCAAAAATGTAGGTTGATTCCTGATAATTACACCTTTCCTTGAAAACACTGAATGCTAAAGAAAGTCTTGAGCAAGTGGTGTTCTTGCTGCTTGTATTTATAAATGTCTGAGCCTATGTTCGTAAGGTCTTGAGCAGTTTCCTCCCACCACCACTCACTTTGTTATTTGTAGTATAATGTTCATATTTGTAACCTTGCACGTACGATGATGATGATAATCTTTCTCTGTGTTGACTCAAGACTTGATAACCAGAAAGGCAAATCTCAATTGTGCTGCTCAAGGTTAGGTGTGGGGCCAGGCCACTGTAACTACGGGAAGGAAGTAGGAAGGAGTAGGGTTGGACTCTACAGAAGAGGAGGTATGTTGGCAAGGGGAGGGGGAGGAAGAGGTAGACTTGCTCTTCCAGCTGTTCCTGGGAGGACACTGGGCTAAAATAAAGGCTACTGCTTCTTCAGGGCAGCATATTGCCCTCCAGTTTCCCCCAGCAATAGCAGCTGCCCAGCACCAGCAGGCTCATGGTGCAGCACCAAAATCAAATGTGCTTTTCCAGCAAATACAGGAATATATACAAAGGAATGAAAATCAGGGTCTCTTTTACCCCCAGAAATTTCTTGCCTGCTTTCTGTGTGGCACATCTGCAGTGGCCCTGATCCTATGGCTGTGCTCCGAAAGCTTTGGCTCTTGATTGCGCTTCCTTTTCTTTGGCACATTATGAATTTTAACAGAAGGGGCTTTTAAAAAATTCTACTAAAATTCTTTGTGAGTTGCACTATTAAGCTTATTGTTTCTGTGCAAAATGGTAGTATTCTGTAACTTTGTACAGTAAAATATTTACAAAATAAAAAATGACTTGTTGAAGGTGGGGATAATACCAAACTACTGTATCAGGTCATGAAGGAAGTCTTTGTTTGTAGTACCAACTAGCCTAGACAGTTTTACTTCCATTGCATTGAAGATCACAGAGTTGGAGTTTTGTTTTCTTGATACAGTGATAGTCTTAGAGCAAATCAGAACCTATTTTCTGCTATTGTTTTTTTATTTTTGTTTAGAAGGAAAAAATCTGAAGTCCAGCCCATAAAAAAAAATATATATATAATACTCCTTAATTCCATGTGTGATTCAGAGCCTAACTAGGCCTAGATCATAACCAGCTGCTCAGTTTTTAGGCTTAGCTCTCAGAAATTTCCAATGTTGCTGTGACTACCTTTTGTGTATTCAAAGCTGTGTTCCCACTGCAAAAGTGTGAAGGTAACATTCAGCTGCATTTACAGTGTAGCCTTTTTTTTCTTGACAGAACCAGCTTTGTTAAGCACACCAATGCTGTGTAATGTTTTGTTGGCTTTGGGTTTATTTTAAATGAAAACTGTTCAATCTTTTTTTGCAGAAGTGTTAAGTATTAGTCATTTGCTTTTTTTGTAGGAGTTCTCTGGAATCTTTCCTCCTGTGATGCACTGAAAATGCCAATCATCCAGGATGCCCTCGCAGTGTTGACCAATGCAGTGATCATCCCTCACTCTGGATGGGAAAACTCTCCACTCCAGGATGATCATAAAATACAACTCCATTCATCACAGGTGCTGCGCAATGCCACTGGGTGCCTAAGGTGAGTACTGCAAAACATTTGCTTTGCCCTAATCATCTTGCTTTGACTTGAACTGGTATTTTTCATTCTTAGGCATCTGTAAAGTAAATAATTGGTTTGCATGTCAGCGAAGACAATAACTTTCAGCGCTGTAGACTTTAAGTTGGAAATTAATTAGAAAACAAGCTTCAGGCCATTCGAAAAACAATCTCTAGAAGCGCTGCTGTAGGTTTTCCTTTTTTCTTTTCCTAATAGCTTTGACTAAACTTCTTATCCAAGCTGGTATATTACAGATGTTTTTCTCCTTATAGATTTGTCTCATTTCCCCAGTTGCTTAAGTGAAGTCAATATGTTCTCACTATTACACCCAATGTAATCAGTACGAAAAATAATGAAGATGCTCACAAAAAATAATATACCTTACGGGTTCCAGATGCCATTGCTGGAGTTATGATAAATATATAAAAGTAGATTTTTTCTGCTCTCTGAAGATGAGAAATGGATTTCAATAAGTGACCAATCAATTTAATACTGTGTAACTAGAATACTTAAATCCTTAACAAGTATAGTGTGTGTTTATATTTGTATGACAAACTTGTATATGCAACACCAAGTTGCACGTATATGTGGAGTGAGTAAGAAGAGTTTTAGTTCTGAAAAAGCCTTACAAAAGGATTGAGTCATAGCAATTTTTTAATTCCAATCCATATCATTTTGTTGAAGTACTTTAACGTATTAGGCAAGTTCTTTTAAGCATTGTTTTCTTTTCTCCTAGTACACTGGAAATTCTGTAATGTCTTAGAGACATGAAAGTTGATTAGTTAATATTTTTACATACATCACAGGAAAATTGTTAGGCGAATAGTATGTACAGTAATACAGTCTATGTTGTATGTTGTGTCCAAAGCAGCTATCCATCAAACAGCTAAATTTAAAAAAAAAAGCAAAAAACATTGATTAGGAGGCAAAGTAAAGTAGCAGTACTTTTTACATATCCATAGCAAGCACCAGTTTGTCTTCGTGCTGTTTCATCCAATGAAATGCCTCCCTTTCAGAAGTAGCACCTGAAAAGTTTAATGGAAAAAATCATTATTATTATTATTATTATTATTATTACCAGGAATTCAGTGGAATAATGTAAACAGAAGAGAATGAAATATAGAAGGTGATAATTTCTGTATTGCCAATATACTTGTATTGGACTTAAGTGCAGGTATGTATATGTGAATACCAGCTATTGGAATATGTGACTGAAACTAAGTATTTGTACCAGAATTGTATTGATTTTGAGAAGAGTTTGGTATTATAATTTTGTTGCATCATGTTCATATTACTAGGAAAAAAGTTACTGAATCACCGTGACAGAAGCCATTCCATAAAGACATGTACCGTGTTATACTTCTCATACTTCCAATGTTTAACCTGTCTCAGTTAAAGAGCTGCCTCTGAAAGAGATGTCCATTATAAATTTGGGGCTTTATGATGCCCCTTCTCTGAATGGACATGTCCAGTGTCGGTCTCCCCACACCATAAGCTCTAGCTTCCTATTAATTTTTCCCCAACTGCTTCTCAGGGACTGATGTCCATCCCTGATCCTGCAAACCTCAGTTCATCCTACCTCATAGTTGATATATTTGTTGCTCATTGGTCTTGAAATCTTTCTTCTTTTTTCTTTTTTTCTTTTCTTTTTTTTTTTTTTTTTTTTTTTTGTGAATTTTTGTGCACCCAACTGATGTGAGCTTACTGTAGCCTGCACTGTGGGTCAGCCTGAGGACTTGTGGCCACATGAGAATGGTACGTTGCCTGGTCTAATACACACTGCTTTGCAGCAAGGCTTACTACCAAGTGCTTGATGGTAGGGTGTCATAGCAGAATGGCTTCTGGTCAGGTCGTGCAAAATAAGCTCATATCTGCCTGCAAAAGACTGTGCATATTATATCTCTTTAGTCCTTTCCAGGTAGCTGTAACAGCAGCTCAAACGGTTGTCCTGAGCAGGTTGGTCTTCCTCCTAAACCCAGGCTCTTCAACCATAGTATGGCTTTTTAATATATTTCTGATACCAAACCTTCACTATTTCCCAGATGCATCTTTCTGTCCTCTCTAATGGCTTCAGATATATATTTAGCCTTCATCCATCTTCTTTAGATAATTTCATCCCACTTAGTCTGTGTGGATGCTCTTTGGCAGAGCCAGAACATTTGGAGAAGGTTGAACTTTTGCTTCACACCAGGGGGAACTTTCTTGTTTATGTTTCCCCAGTCACTGTTGAAAATCTCTCTCTCTGAACAAAGTGTCAAGTTTGAGTTTGTGCAGTGGAGAAAAGTGTAAGTTGACCTCTGAGACGGTAACTGGATTCTTGTGTTGAATTCCTGTAAGATAATGGGGCTGGAGGCTGGAGTGAAACAGTGAATGTCAGAAAGAGAAGATTAGAAAGCTCTGTGGAGATGATTTGAGTAGCGCATGCTCTGCGCAGGTAGTACCTTGGCTGGCATTCCTTAAATACCCACCATCCCCAATAAACTAAACGCCCTCACACTTTCCACTTGTGACTAGTTACAAGCCTTGTATTTCCATTTCAAGATCTCACTGGACAAGGGAGGTGATATAAATCAGGACTATATATTGTGGTTGATGGCTGAGATAGTGTGCTGTGTTTATGTGGTGAATGGAAAGTTCATTGTCATCTTCTGTGGGAGAATTTCTTCTAAGACTCTGGTTGTCCTCTGCTGTTTTCATTTTCTCCTTTTCCTAGAGCTGATTGTTGAAGGGATACTGGTTAAAATTCACTTGCATCAGGTTTATCAGTGACAATGCTCAGTATCATAGGAAAAGTAGTGGTGTTCAGAATACTTAACAAGTGCTTCTGAATCTGTAATGTTGACTGATGTATTCATTGCTAAAAACTTTAAATACTATCTGAGAGGTGCTGTAATATAATCCATCCCATAAACAATGCTATTAGATAGATTGCAATGGCCATCATATAGGAATAGTCAGATCATTCTTTTGTGTTTTTTCACTACAGTATATGAATTCTTATTCTTTCTGCTGATCTTTTCTCAGTTTCTTGATGAGAGTTTCCTTCTTCAATTAAAAAGTTGCTTATTAACTACAATTTTTAATACTCTTCTCTGCTTATTCATTATCATTCTTAACCAAGTTCTTAAGCCTGCAACTCCAGTCACACAGTAACCCAGCTGAAATCAGTATGAAATCATATGAAAGACAGCAGCCACATCAGACCTTCTTCTCCTGTTATTTCTTTTTTTCCTTGAAGACATTATTTACAAACTGCACTTTGCATACTTTTGTGATTTGAAAAGGAAAATAGCTTTAATACAGTACTGTACTAATTAATTTTACATAACTTGAATACTTTGAAATGGTTTAGATAATTCAAAGCTCTGAATACAGTGTTATACTTATCATTTATAAATTTAATCTTAATATTAATCTTTGATAAATTGCCAGACCTCAGTGTGACGTGTGTTAGAGTAATCACCCAATTTACTTGGCTCCCCACTGAGATGCTAGTACCTTACCTCATTAAGTTCTGTGAAAGTTTGACTGTTTTTTTTTTTTCCTTTTGAATTTCAGCTGTGACTGCTTTATTTGTGTTAGGGAAATACCGTATCTTTGGTATATAGTGTCTGATTCCTTTAGACTTATTAGGGAAAGTCAGGTGAAAACTGAATTTGGAATCACAGTTGCTTATAGTGGGGGATTTACAGTCCCTAATCTGAAATTTAAAAATCAGCTGGAGGCATATTGCACAACGTTGTCTTAACCTGGAGCACCAAGCTTACTGTGGTGGGCTGACCTTGGCTGGACACAAGAGAGAAAATACAACGAAAGGCCCATGGGTCGAGATAAGGGCAAGTTTTAACTGTTTTGTGGATGAATTAACTGTTTCACAGACATTTACAACTAAAACATTTATTCCACCATTTTATTTCTCCTCCAGTTCTCTTCTAAGCATCCAAAGTCTATTGATTCCTATTCTTAAGAACTTCTATACTCTGTTTTGAATACAGCATTCTGCTGCATATGACAAAAGATGTGGGAGCAGCATAAAATACATACTACAGACTTTATCATTCATCATCTGTTTAGTTTCTAAAGAAATATACACATATATGAAGAAAGATTTTTATATGTATGTGAAACACGTTTCTTTGGAAACTAAACTGATACTTGTACATATGTGCATGTATATATTTTGTGTTTATTTGTATATACATGCAGATATAAAAAGGCTGATTAGTGAAGCTAGAATATGTTTCTGTCTTTACTGACTGATGCAAGCTTTGAATATCTCCAGCTGGATATAAACGGAGATGGCTTCTTACAGTAGGACCGGGACCTTTGCTGCTGATTTTACAATACTCCTCTTACCAACACAACAGTCACAATTTTGTCCATCGCTGTGTATGCTGTAGTGGATATAAAGATATTGGACTTGCCAACCCATCTCAGTATTTCTCTCGCTTTTTCTAGAGCCCAGGAGCTCTTCTCAGTCTTGTGCATTAGATAACAAGAAAGCCCACACTCCATTAAGAAGCCTGTCAGAACTCAAAGTTAGGACAAAACTCATATTAATTGTGTGTTACCACTGGCATCCTACTCAAGGGAAGGACTTTTACTACAAGCAGTACCAGCAAGCAAGAGTTACAAGAGAGATACAACTACCTAGAGCGATACTGAGGCAGAGTTATCCACTTGTAGAGAGGAAGCTGTCCAAATCCAAACCCAACATTTTTCCTTCTCTTAACCTCTTCAAATCCAGTCTTATCTTGGAGAAAGGGGTAATCCACTCCTGTTCTTATCTTTTTAATACCTTTTGAGATATTAAAATTACAAAGCTGGTATACTTAAAATCCAAGCACCGTAAGATCAGCTAATTCAGTACCAATTATCTAGCTACGTTCTATGAATGTATTGTGGTGAAACACATGCTATAATTGACATAGTGTACAGCGTTGCACACCATGTGTTAAACCTCATTTGGCCACAACTAGGAT